ACCCAGGGGGACAGCTTGAGGCTCTGTCTACAAAAAAAAAAAAAAAAAGAAAAAAGAAAAGAAAATAGAAGATGCTAGAGGAATAGATCTTTTTGTTGGTGGGAATAATCCTCATAACAGGCACACAAGGCATGTACATGCCCTGTACAAACCAGTAGAGAAAGGTGCCGGGTACACGTAGACTATTCAGCTTTCCAGCAACGTCCCTGGACGTCCCTGGACTGCTTTTGTATGTGGTAAAGATGCTACTTTAGAACTAAGAGTGGTCTGGGCGTGATGGCTCAGGCCTGTAATGCCAGCACTTTGGGAGGTCGAATGTGGGTTGAGTTTAGTACTAAACATAGTACCTGTGGGACACCACCAGGGGGGCAGGAATGTTCAGCAGTTTAGATATAGATGTGTGGGTCGCAGTGCTGGGAAAAACAACAGGATCAAAGGTTAACGTTGCTTCAGGGTTAAGATATAGATTAGCAGCAATGAATAGGGAAGTTAAAGTTTACCCCCAAAGCATTATAACTGGTTCTTTTTTACTTTATAATCTTATGATAATGTCTTCTGTTTTTCTTTCCATTCACCAATGTCCCCTCAATTCACTAATGGTGCAAAACTTCTTTGTTTTGGGGCAATGTAGTTAGAAGCTTTGTTTCCATCTATAATCAACTTGTATGTTCCATATGTCGTGCACACGCACATTTTTCCTGGTTAATAAAAGACCCTTGAGGGTTTTATTCAGGGTGGCACTTCCTTGCTACCTGCTTAGCCTGTGAAGCTGCTTGACTCTCTGAGCCTCATCGGTTATTTCTTTGAAAATAACTGAGTGAAGAGTTTACTTTTCATGCATTCCCCTCACCGTTTCACCCTGAGAGCAGAACAACAGCTGAGGAGAGTGGATCACTTGAGGCCAGGAGTATGAGACCAGCCTGGATGATGTAGTGAGAACCCCATCTCTACAAAAAATAAGAAAAGTTGGCCAGACGTGATGGCACACATCTGTAGTCTCCACTCTACTTGGAGTGACAGTAAGAACTCATCTCAAAAAAGTGACAGAAAAAAAGCTAAAAGTCCAAATTGTGAAACACTTTAAAGGTTTAAACTTAAGAGTCTCCTACAGAATATGAAAGAAGGATATTGGAGTAACATTATGCTTGAAGAAATGGAATATTTTTTTATAAGTTGTAGATGCATTTTCAGCTATGCAATATGTTAAAACATGAGAATTTTGGAAATTATAATTTTTTAAAATAATCCAATAGAAAATAGACAATGGCTATCAAATACATGAAAAAAATGCTCATCATCCCTAATTATTAGAGAAATGCAGATTAAAACCACCCTGGGATATCATCTAGCCCCAGTGAGAATGGCCGATATCACAAAATCTCAAAACTGCAGATGTTGGTGTGGATGTGGAGAGAAAGGAACACTTTTACACTGCTGGTGGGACTGCAAACTAATACAACCTTTTGGAAGGAAGTATGAAGAAATCTTTTTTTT